GTCGCTAATGTGCAGTTGATTCTCACACATATCTTTGCGTCATTGCCACTATCTTATTGCCGTAGATTGGAAATGCTATCGTTTCCCACATTTCGCTACTGCAATCTCTCTTGTTTAAAACGATTCTGGGTGATTGGGTTACTCCCTCAAGTTTGGGGGGGGGGTGTATCGGTGATTCGATGGCTTTGTAGTAGCCTGAGGCGATATACCGCCTTTTGCAGTGTGTTATGCAGAACACATAGCTAGTAAGTTCTATGAACAGACGACGTGCACGTATTAGTGCGGTGGTAGAATGCTGACGATTAAAGGCGTGGCAAAGTAACATAACAAACATCTGGGCAATAATACCCTCACATCACAGCAGGTCATGCTTATGGCATGACCTTTATGGTGCTTAGGAGAAGTATGATATAAGTTGCAAAGAAGGTGCCGACAAAGTCGGCACACTCCGGCCAGCGAGGGGAAATGGAGAGAGCGAAAATGTGCATTTCACAAACATACATAACACTGTGAATATACAAAAATACTCGTATTTGTCAGGATATCGCAGTGGTCGTTGGTGAGCGGCGCTTTGACTGTACCGACATCCGCGAAGTATGAGCAGACGTGGCGACGATAGGAGGCAGATGGTTGGAATAAGCAGGCGATGAAATTGTTGTGATTGGTACACTCAATATGGCGACATGGTAAATACTTGAGTTCAAAAAAATTTCCGCTTTCCTTGTTTGGAAACGGAGTTGGAAGGTGTTCGTCATTGGAGACAGCTGTCTCACCTTCACCAGTTGCCGGAAGCGTCGTGACCTGCAAAGACCTGACCGCCTCCTTATGAGCAGAGAAGATCTTGTCGTTATATTGATCATCAGCACTACTCGACGTTTTGCTTCTTTTTATCGTTCCCTCTGACTTTATCTGCGGTAAATTTTTTGCATCTACTTTTGCCGTGTGGTCGAGGCTGTCTTCGTTGGAGTTTGAAATGGTTGGCTCCACGGACATCTTCTGTCTTTTTTCTTGAGCATATGGTATGCTGCTTAAAGCGCTAAACTTACTCCTGGATTCAATTTTAGTCTCTCTTTTACTTTCTTCTTCGTTTTTGAGCGTTTCTTCGTTCATCGTTGGCGTATCGCTTGAGATAGGATCGCGCGTTTTTGGTGACTCGTTCGACTGATTCCCGAGCAGTAATTGCTCACTGTTATTTTTGCATGTTACGGCAAAATTCTTTCTGCTTTCTATGCTTTTCAATTCTGCCTCAAATTCTGTCGTGCGGAGTTGCACATGGAAGACAAGCATGTGAGTATCATCAATCATAACTTATAATAACGGGCTAAGGGTGTTTACGTGACTTTGTGTGTGTGTGTGTGTGTGTGTGTGTGTGTGTGTGTGTGTGTGTGTGTGTGTGTGTGTGTGTGTGTGTGTGTGTGTGTGTGTGTGTGTGTGTGTGTGTGTGTGTGTGTGTGTGTGTGTGTGTGTGTGTGTGTGTGTGTGTGTGTGTGTGTGTGTGTGTGTGTGTGTGTGTGTGTGTGTGTGTGTGTGTGTGTGTGTGTGTGTGTGTGTGTGTGTGTGTGTGTGTGTGTGTGTGTGTGTGTGTGTGTGTGTGTGTGTGTGTGTGTGTGTGTGTGTGTGTGTGTGTGTGTGTGTGTGTGTGTGTGTGTGTGTGTGTGTGTGTGTGTGTGTGTGTGTGTGTGTGTGTGTGTGTGTGTGTGTGTGTGTGTGTGTGTGTGTGTGTGTGTGTGTGTGTGTGTGTGTGTGTGTGTGTGTGTGTGTGTGTGTGTGTGTGTGTGTGTGTGTGTGTGTGTGTGTGTGTGTGTGTGTGTGTGTGTGTGTGTGTGTGTGTGTGTGTGTGTGTGTGTGTGTGTGTGTGTGTGTGTGTGTGTGTGTGTGTGTGTGTGTGTGTGTGTGTGTGTGTGTGTGTGTGTGTGTGTCCGTCTGTCTGTAACGAAATTCATAGAGCGAGTTCCAGCCAATGTCCTGAGCCCAAATTTTGCACAGCGCATGCTACCAGCGCAGAACTCCACCGTACAAAATCACGAGCAGATTCGTTGGGTGGATCCATGAGAATTTGCGAGTCAGACGGATCCACTTGGCCTCTGGCCCGCAAAATTGGGTCTGTATCAACGCTTTTTGCAAAGTCGTGGATGAGTTTGGCATGTTGATGTGCAAGACATGGACTTTAGGCGAAAAAGTGACCAAAGGTCTACTACTATACCAGAACGACGCCAAAAAGAAATGGTTGCGCAAATGGTCAATCCGCCGTGGCTTTACCTGACCATTTGAGAGAATTTTTGCATAGAAATGTAGCTCACGGTAATTGTTGTCCTTATGGCGACTACCAAGCCAAAAGAAGTTTAAAAACCTAATCGAATTTGCAATTGTTCTTCTGCGAAAAGTTTCATTCACGCGAAATTACCGATCTCACATGAAAAACCCTTTGAAATGAGTAGTTGTTTACATTTCATTCGTGGTAGTCGTCATTGCACGGTGAGTTTCAAAGACATCATTAGGCGAGAACAAGTAAAGCATATAAAGCAAGACCAGTGCGAGCCTCTGCGAAGCAGAGGTGACGCACTGGTAACTTACAATAACGGGCTAAGGTTGTTTACGTGTTTTTGTGTGTGTGTATGTCTGTGTGTCTGTCTGTAACGAAATTCGTAGAGCGAGTTCCAGCCAACGTCCTGAGCCCAAATTTTGCACATCGCATGCGGCCAACATAAGAGCCTACCGTGCAAAAGCACGAGTGGTTTTGTTGGTGGATCCCTCAGAAACTGCGTGTCAAACGGAACCACTTGGGTTCTGGCTAGCAAAATTGGTTCCGTATCACCACTTTTTGCAAACTGGAGATGCGTTTGGCATGCTGATGTGCAAGCCATGGATTTAGTCCAAAAAAGTGGACAAAAGTTTACTACTTTACGAGAACGATGCCAAAAGAAATGGTTGCGTGAATAGCTAATTTGCCATGGTTTTACCTGAGCATTAGAGAAGAATTTTGCACAGAGATGTAACTCACGTTGCCTACTGTCCTTATGGCAGCTATCAAGCCAGAAAGAGTCCAAAAACCTATTTAAATTTGTATTTGTTCTTCTGCGAAAAGTTTCATCCACGCGAAATCACCGATCTCACATGAAAAAGCATTTGGAATGGGTAGTTGTTTACATTTTACTCGCGAGAATCGGCACTGCACGGTGAGTATCATTGCCACCATTAGTCAAGAATGAGTAAGGCATATGAAGTGAGACCAGTGCGAGCCTCTGCGAAGCAGAGGTGACGCACTGGTGGCTTTATAAAATCTTATCTCTTTATCGAGTTTCTCCATTTCCATCACCATCACTTTCCTTATGGCGGTAGATTCTTCGCTTTCGTAAAGTTTCTCCAGCACACCAGTCCTCATTTGTAGTGACTGTGCGGCGTTCTTCACTTCTCTAATTATTCGCGCATATTGGCGCAGATTGTAGGCGCATATCCTTCGCCGTAGATCGTCGTCATCTGGAAGTATTGTCTTCTTACCGCTGTAGGCGTACTCTTGCAGTACTTCCGTGAGGTTCTTGGTTTGCCTTCTAATTTGTTTGTAGAGGCTGGAAAACAGCTTCATTATGAGTGAATCCCTTTGTGTTGCTGTCGTAGCGAAGCCCCTCACATCACAGCAGGTCATGCTTATGGCATGACCTTTATGGTGCTTAGGAGAAGTATGATATAAGTTGCAAGGAAGGTGCCGACAAAGTCGGCACAGGGGGGTAACCCGACCACACTTGAAGTTTTTCTTGCGTGCTTTGCTTCTTTTATCTTTAGCTTTGCTGTATCTTTTACATGAGAGTAGTATACGTCCAACTGTAACAGCATGATTTCCCGCTCAGTCTCATTGCGCCGTTACTTGTCGTGATCCATCGTTAGCCTCCACAGCTTTACAAGCTAGTGCAGGTTTAGCTCCGAGTCGTTTTGTGTTTTTCGATTTTGCATTGTCTCAATCAAGCTTCTGTTTGGAAGTTAGGCGTGAACGTTCTCCTGGGCGACCATTGACCCGCAAATCCTTCATAACTTCTTTTAGAAAAACGATTAGCAGAAACGGAAGTCAGATTCGGAATCAGCGTTTCAAGGCGAATGTAATGGTGCTATTCATCTCATTTCACACCAAGTATCTTTCCCTTTTCAGCTCATTTTGCTATTACCAGCTGTTCTGGCTCGCTTTTACTCTTTTTTCTCCTTTTTGAGTTTTCAACAAGTTTCACTCGTTGCTTTTTGAACCATGACAAAGCTGCGAGACGATTATAAAATGCAAAGTTATCGATAAAACATGGAACTGCAAAAACCTTTTTAAACAAATTAGAGGGATAATGAAGAGTCGCAGTTTATCACAGGAAACAATATGATTTCGCCAGAACCCCTCAGTACAAGTACATACATCGTGTGGTTTCCGTTCTGTTCGAAACAAAATTTTTAATGAGGTCAAAATCACTTTTTCTTCGAGCATGTTCTACCCCAGAGCGCGACGATGAGGTTCTACGACACTTCGATGCGCTGTCTGTATCAAACACACTGCATTTTATCGCACGCTCAAAATGTTGTTTTGCATTTGTGTGACGCGCCTTGTTTATGTCAGTCATTATCTGAGTTCTTTGAACTTTTCAACGGAGATGGCGCGGAATCACACAAACAATGATGCGTAAGACCTTCGCTCATCTCTCACCTTTGTAAAAGCGCTCCTTCTTCTAAAATTTAGCTGTTTACATGCAGCTTGTTTAGCTTACTATTTTCTTTCATATATTTCACACATAATTGTTGTATAGGCATCACAGTAGTCGTAGGTAATGTTAATGTCCGCTATCGGTTACCATCATTTCATGGTATCATCTTGCTTGCATTAGTGAAAACCCTACGATGAGCTCATTCAATAAAAGCATCTCAGCTTATCCAGCGCCTCGTAATCTTCAGCTGCTTAACTTATCTCGAGCACGCCTCTCCTGATGAAAGTTTCTTAGTCGCTCTACTCTAGTTGAATCGCGGTCTTCACAATGAAAGGTAGTTCGTGTCACATGTAACCGAGAGGAATCTCGCAAATCTTTCTCATATGTTCAGTCAATTTTCTTCAGGAGGCTCCGCAACCATGTCGATGACTAGTCTGAGCACTAAGTCTCGACGGCCGGAAGACATTATTATGGAGGGTTGGCTTCACAAAAAAGGAGAACATATCAGAAACTGGAGGCCAAGGTAATTTTGTCATATAAGGTCTATAATGGTAAAGTAAGCTCTACTATAAAGTAAGAAATTTTTGCTACTGCAGACTATGCAGGGAGCGCGCACAGGTCGTCCCTGAAAGTGTATCGAACTTCGATCTTTAGTGATCTTGTAAGGACGTTTTCTTCACCCTCACATTTTATAATGCAAAACTGGCTTATCTTGGGTTTACAGTGAGGAATCACCGATCTCTTCATTACTGTAGGATTACGGTAGGGACTCTTAGCAAGCAATGTCATTGTGAATATGCTATCGTTTTAGACAAATTTTTCAAATTTGGGAAGTTAGTACTAGGTCATCTTATGCTGCTTCGAGTGCTCAGTTATTACATATTTGAAGCTTATCAAATGGTTAATCGCAGTTTCGAGAAACAATGAGAAAACAGCTGTCACAGTAACTTTTGCCAGCTAAGAATGAAGCATCACGGTGTGCGAAGTTCGTAGTTGCAGTCAGTTCCTAATTATCTAGTTTAGGGTTTTCAGATTGCTTGGTTTGTTTTCTTAAGCAAAATATGGTTCTTTAAGCTCAAACCCTTTTCAAAATTCCTACGTAATTTTACGGTAATGAAGAGAGATTGATGATTCCTCCATACTGTAAATCTAGAGAGCTTCGTAGCATGGTGTTTGAAAGGCTACGAAAGCCTTTCATAGGAGCAAATTAAGGTCCTTTGTATGATACATTTTTGGACACTTTGTATGTAATTTCGAAGAAAACAGCAAGATTACCAAACGGACGTTGGCGCCAATTCCTAAAAAAGCTGTCTGAGTTATCAACTCTACTTTGAGTGTAGATATGTCGGTTTGATGAGAGATAGCATGACACTGATTTCACTCGAAGCCTAGGTAAAATACGAAGGCGAGTGGAAAAAAGGGGACTGCCTCTTGTATATCGGACTTATGCAGTGGTTCTGTCTTGGGTTTCCCACTTTGAACCACGATTGTCCTATTACATAAAAGAAATGCTGAAATTCGAGTGCGAGACAACGCGTATCAGTTGAGGGGAGATGCTGACCTGTTCGAAGGTCGTGACGCATTTTCTATGATGTCCTCCGGTCGGCAGTCCGGCAGGACGCGGACAGCACAGCGATCACTAGTTGCGGAATAAAGAAGCATAAGTGATCAGAAAGTGATCTAGGTCATCGGAATGTCAATCTTCTATCCACAAGGATTGATCCGTGCTTGAATTTGGAAAAGCAAGTTTTCTCTCAGCGCGCTCACTGAGCGACCGCGATCAGGTTCACACATAAGTTTGGCCGCAAATTCGAAAAAAGCGGTGCTTTAGTTAGCGCATGTATCCCCATATTTGTGTATTGATAAGCTGCTTGTGCATTTGCTACCTCTCACTTGTCTCGGATTTTTTTCTAAATAATTGATGCAGAGTTCAAAGTTTCACTACCCATGGGAGCTCTGCATAGGTAGATCATGTTTTTGTACAGTCTGGCTTTGTAGCAGGTAGAAGCAAGTTTTGCGTGTAGAAACAGAGGTTTTCCAGCCTGTTATCATCCGCATGTGAATCCTTACACTTTGTTTGCGTGTACTCCCTAACCAGGCTTCGCAATAGCTAGAGATTTCGCTCTTGATAAATAACGGATTGAGGAAGGCTTACAGAAGACTTTGAAATCATATGTGTTTGTGACACTGTTTTTTTTCTGAAGTTAGCATGATGTAATATCCAGGCTAATCTTTGAAAAAATGAGTATCTTTGTCATGGAGGAAGTAGGTGGCACGTTTTTGAGTATCTTGACTCAAGATGAAAAAGTTTAACTATTATAATAGCCGTTAAAGCCCCATAATCCCCCGATCTCGATTCAATGAAGTCCATTCACCGAAATAGCAGGGAATTTTGCGCTAATTTCGGCTTTAAAATATGACGATATAGCAATTTTTAAACCAACTGCTGCAATTAGTTTGTGAACATGCGGTCCGAAGGCGTACCCTCTTGGCGTACCAGCGGCGTACCATTCTCCTCCCAGCGGAGTTCCACAGCGTACGAGCGGCGTGCGACTGCCCTACCAGCGGCGTTTGCGTGTTCCGCTCAGACGAGTATCGAAGGCCGCTGGTACGCAACGAAAGTCGGAGTATAAAGCAAATATCATATGAAATTTACCATCTGAAATCTTAGATTCAGTTTGCAGATACTTCATCCTCTTCAACGATGGCGCTTTGTTGGGGTTCAAAACGCAACCCAAGTTGGGTCAACCTTTCCCAGAACCATTGAACGATTTCATGGTCAAGGATGCACAGGTCGCGATTTTGTTTATCAGTGATAGGTCATGTTGGGAGTCGAGACATCTAGAATTTTTAATTGTTAAAAAAGCTGGGAATATTTTGCTTGAATCGCGTTTGACTCGCATACGATGACGATCTGTAGCCAAAAGCTTCAGCTAAAGATCCATAAACGACGACTGCTCAAGTTTCCGGTCTGGCATTGATATTGTGAATGACGCTTTGTTTTTGTCCGTTCTGAAGATTGAGCATGGGGCATAGATGGTTGTTTTTATCACTTTTGAAAGTCTAGATGTTGAAAGCACATGCTCTAGATAGAAATTGACCCCTTTAAGGGTCCCTTTCCCCAGCAGAATGTCATAATACTTAGTGACTTTCTGGGGTTGGATACCTCTTCTGCATGACTTTTTGAAGAAATCGCCAAGGCCTGTTGTCTTTCAGGCCATCCGCTACGAGAAGCCACGGCCAAATATGTTTATGATCCGGGTTTTACAATGGACTACGGTTATTGAACGCACATTCTATGCGGACAATGCAGAGGTGAAGACTTTTAACAAAAACTTTTTTTGCAGTTCGCCACTGCAGTTCAGTTTGAGAAAGAGTTTGCTTGTTTACCTGAGGATTTCTCAGTATTGTTGAAATACAAAGCAAAGATTTAGTTACGTGAGAGATGGATAGCTGCGATTGAGCTCATCGCCAACAGGTACAGGCAACACATGAGTGAAGAACCGCAGTCAGCCCAAGAAGAGATGATGGAGGTGGTCAGCCAGGTGAGCTTTTATTCGCTTATTTTTTCGCCAAATATCCCATGATATGCATCTAGACTTTGAAGCGTTACATCTGTTATATCCCTCCTTCGAAAATCGTTCGTTTATGCCTTCCTGACTAAAGCTAAGCATAATTAACATTAATGCTGAGGAAGGTTGAGCTACAAGTAAGCAGAGTATCTGACTTGGGTAATTTTAGCTCATAACGAACTCGAGGCTACTGTCACTTCCAAGATTATCAGCTGATCTGCTTGTGATTTTCCAATCTTGAGTGAATGCATTGGTTTGTAAACATATTAGTTTCCAATAGGTTCGCATGTGGAAAGAGCTTGTTTGATAAGACCTATCAAAAATGAGCTTTATTGCCCCTCCCCCTCCCCCCCCTCCATTTTTGTCAAACAAATACGAAGAGCATGGTACCTTTGTGTCCATTGCATATTAGGCATCCATGGACGATTTATCCGGACAGTATGCTGCTGCCGCGCATGCGATTATGGGACAGCCGTCAGTTCCTGCAAACTCTTCAGCAAACGCATTAGCAAGAACGGAAATGATGAGTATAGCAGATACCAGCGATGCTGCAAAAAGAGATAAGATTGTGAGTTTGCAATAGTCAATCAACTCCACTCAGGTTGTAAGCATTGTATGCTTATATTCTAGACCATGGATGACTTTGAGTTCCTCAAAGTGCTCGGCAAAGGTACGTTCGGGAAAGTTATCTTGTGTAAGGAGAAACGTACTTCGAAGTTATATGCGATCAAGATTCTCAAAAAAGAAGTTATCATTGCGAGAGTAAGCGGTCTCTGTGAGTGCAAATGTCTTGACTCAATGTGTGCATTTTAGGAAGAAGTCGCTCACACCCTCACAGAGAATCGCGTTCTACAACGATGTAAGCATCCTTTCCTCACGGTACGTTTGACGGATGCTTTTTTGGAATAGAGATCGCACTTTCTCCACGGCGACTTACTTAATTTGACCTTGGGTTGAGCTTGCAAAAAAAATCTCGTTGGGATAGATAAAGTAGCCACTCCCTTGGTGTTTCCTTCGGATTCCTTTCATATCTCTCCGGACTATCACATGATATATGTGAAAGTAGCGTAAAAGTCCACTATTCTTCCTTCTCCATTATTTCTTTTCCTGTGGAAGTGTTTGAAGCGGATTTTGTTGCTTCTACAACATTTTAAGTAACTTTGCTTCCTCATCATCGTATTTTGGTGGTCGTGTGTTTTAGCAGCTGACGTATAGTTTCCAAACAATACATCACCTGTGTTTCGTGATGGAATTTGCCAACGGCGGCGAGTTGTTCACGCACCTACAGAAGAGTGGAACGTTCAGCGAGTCGCGATCGCGATTCTATGGTGCCGAAATAGTGCTTGCACTTGGATATCTACATAGTCTCTCAATTGTTTACCGAGATATGAAGGTAGGTCGCTTTCTGCTTCCATGAATCCGCTAAAAATACCTGTTGTGAATTCCACAGTCTCCTCTAAATGATTAGATTTCCCGCTCACTATAGTATGCTTAATGCCGGGATAACGCAATTTTGCACGTGAACAAATAGTTGTGCCTGGAACGCTGATCACTTGCGAGTGCAAAATGCCGGTATCGCTGGGGTGGCTATCTCCCGCGCAGATTTATCGGATTCTCTCCGCACCGCAAGCACACTATATTGAGCGGAAAGTTTTCTTGACTTTTATCTGTAAGGCCTCGGATATATCTGCTTATGCTCATAGCTTTTGTAAGCTTATACGTACATGTCAATCTTGAACTTGCTTACAAATTATGCGCCTTCGAAAAATTATGAACAAGTGTAGCAATTAGAAATAGCGCGGCGACGAGGTATGACCGATCCCTAAGTCTCTGTTGATAGGACCAACTTGCGTTTTTGTATATACTTGTAGTCTTGAATTCGCAATATCATGTGACCAAATTAGCTGACCAACTAGAATTTTCATATAGGCACCTTCTTTGTAGTAGCGTGAGCGCTGGAGCAGTACTGTAGCAATAGGAGTAGAGGACTATATGTCGCCGAATTGGGGCGGCCCACGGCGATCTGCAACGAATGCGGACTCTTTCACATGCGAAGGTGCGTTTCTGAAGTCCGCGCGGGACCACCTCCCTAGGGACCGGCCATAGGTACTCAGATAATCGCCGGGGCAGGCGGCCATGCGATTCATGGGCGGGCGGGCACCGGAAAAATAGTTCGCTGATTTCTTGCGGTCCGCTTGCAGATATTTGGAACAATTTTAGCGAAATTTTAGACTAATGCTTGGAAAACAATCGCGGTTTTCTTATAGATTAGCTGCGTCATTCTCGTGAATTTTCCGCGAGAATATGCAAAATTTTTGAGGGCCGCACGGTCCTTTGTGGAGGACAGCGCAGCCCCAGGTACTTTCCGCTGGAAGGTACCTCAAACTTGAGTAATTAAACCAACGGTGACACCTCTGTCACACAGAGTCTTACCTGTGCTCGAAAGCCCGAAACCGCGTAAAAAGAGTCCGAGCACCTGCTGGAAGTTCGGCCAGCGTTTGCTGAAAGAGATTATTTGACGAGCGCCTGCAGAAAATTCTGTGTTACTGCCCGCTGGCAGAACATTAGACAGTAAAGGAAGTACCGCTCGCTGAAGGTTTGGCCACGCCCCAAAATTCTGCTGACCGCTTGCACAAAAGCGCGAGTTTGCGGACGGCCTGCCCCCGGCGATTATCTGAGTAGGCGCCAGACTAGCTGACTGTCTGCTTCAGCAGAAGTCTGCGCGCAACTAGTAAGCTGATGTCATTTGGCGTCATGTAGGACGGAAATTTAAGTGGCGTCTGCGATGCTCGAAACAACAGCAGTTTTGGAGAGGTGATAAAAAAGCCTCGCGGAATGAGAGTAGGATAGAAAGGCCTTGACAGTGAAAAATTTTTGTTGTGTTGAAGCCGCTTTTCCTACAACGTAATACCACATGACAGTAACTGCGCCGCTACCGGCTGAAGCAGGACGATCGGTCAGTCTGGCGCCTACCATACCGTTACTGTGATTCCTGCAATTATTGCGATTCCGTGATTCCTGCGGATCCCACAACAATGTATATTGCGAAAAAACAATGTATACTGAAATTCGCAAGGCACTCCGTAGTGCGGCACATCGGAAGCTGAGGAATCACAGGAAACGCAGGTATTACAGGAATCGCAGGAATCACCTCCTGGAATAGTATGGCTGGTCTCCTACATTCGGCGACATATAATCCTCTACCCTTGCAGCATCGTTATCTTCCTTTTTTCTTTTCACTGTTAGCTCTAAGTGAAGGTTGGAGATCCTATGATTGTAAAGGCCTACATTCAAGTCATTGCCCATGAGGCGGTTTATATCTACAACGTGAGCAAATCTCAGGATGTACTTCCCCTTCTTCTTCTAGAGGAGAACGAGACTGACAAGGGATCGGCCGTAGGTTGCCGGCAGCTGTTGCCAGGGTTGCCGAGGTTGCCGGTGTTGAGCTCAAAGTATCTCATTGCGTTATGTGCTCTCTAACGGCAACCCCAGCAACCTCAACCACACCAGCAACCTCGGCAGTCCTGACAATCCTGGCACTCTGGCAACAGTTGCCGGCAATTTATAGCCGATTCCTACGTGAGGCCTTCCTGGGCGATTGCTGGATTGGGTACCTATCACTCATTGCATTCAATACCTAGGCGCGTATGCACGCAAATATCTGCGGGAGGGGAGGGAAGTCGGGAAGGGACGCGCCATAACTCGCTGCACTTGATTTCTGTAATCTTTTTTGTCTATCCATCTTACGATCATACTCTGGCGCTTGGCAAGGGAAGCCTTTAGTCGAAGTGATATGTTACCCATATCACTTTGCACAGCATTGAACGATGATTTTAATCTGATTTCCTTTTCTGCGGTACACCTCCCCGGAAGAAGTTATAATTGTTTAAAAGTGTGAATGTGTGAAGCCTTAGGCTGGGGTCATACTGGTTCCGAAGTTCCAGAACAGTTCCAGCACAGTTCGCGCACTGTGCTGGAATCGTGCCGCAACCTGTGCTGCATGCGTTGCCCGCCCGGTATAGGCTATTCACAGGCAATAATGTGCGCGCACCTCACACAAGGCAAGGATACTTGGTCGAAGTGGCGTTTCATCAGGAAATGTATACTGTCTTATAGAGCTTAGGACGCTGATTTCAAATCTGCTTTCCATATCTGCAAAGCGCTTGTGGGAGGGGAATTGTGGGAAGTTTTTGAGATAAAAATTTTGAATGCGCGGCTACCATAAAATCATTCAAAGTGCAGTCTATGAACCTCGAATGGGGCTATGTTCAATACCAGGGCGTTTTATGCAGCACTATCTTCAATCTAATAAGCTCTTGTCAGTCACTATTCCCTTTAAGTGCCGAAAAGATCTCAACACCTGTTTTCACTTTAGCCAAACCATTGTATTTTTACCAATAAAAATTCCCAGAATTCCCCCCTCCCCCCCAGAAGCGCTTTGCAGGTAGCGAAAGCAGATTTGGAATCAGCGTTCCATGCTCTATAAGACAGTATACATTTCATATGGAAATTCCACTTCGACCAAGTATGCTTCTCTTGTTAGAGGAATTTTCTATAAACTTACGGAGACACTTTCGGCTAAAACATAATGTGCAACGCTGAAAACAACACGGATGTTGGCCGGGGAATTCATGAGTGAATAGACCGCCTATAGTGCCTCGCGACGATCGCCCGCCTATCCTGGTATTCAAGGTACGACGCGAACAATTTTGCAAGGCCTATAGGCACTAGAATTAGGTCCGCGTATTTGCGGGTTCGGTTGGTTTGTTGAGGACGTTCACCTTTTTTCTAGAGGTTATGTCATGTCTTGAGGTCCTTACTCAAGGGGGAGGGTAGTGGGGCTCCATGCTGCTGGATAGGGAAAATTAGGACTTGGGGACCTCAGTGAAACACTCAGTATCCTCTTTGCTGAGCCATCGGTGGCATTTGCGAAAATCGCTCTTGCTATGGCTAAGCCTTACAGTGTGGGTTAGTGTCGTGCAGCAGTCTATAGAATTGCAGCACATTCTATGAGAATGAGGACTGCATAGTTCTCAACGAAATCTTGTGTACAAAATCATGCTTCTCTCGGAAGAAGCGGGGGACGAGTAACGTGGTGATATGAGGCGCCGTTATCACCAATTCAGGTTCGATCCTCCTCTTCCACTGGTCAAGCCCTTTATCCTCCGGGGCAGGTAAATCGGTACCGGTGTAACCTTTGATTCAACTGGCTTGGCTTCGGGAAGGCGGGGATTTGTGACGTAATCAAGGCCGCTCGCGCCCGCGACGCACCTGCGTCTCTCTCGCGCAAGTGCTATCTGATCAGAAGCTAGCCTTAATTAGTCACGAAGCCCCGTCTTGCCGAAGCCAAGCCAGTCGAGTCAAATGGTAATCTGAGAGGATAAAACCTTGACTTGGTAATCAACTGGCCCTCAGAAAATAAATAAAAAACTAAATTTTCATTTATTTTTTGCTTAAACAAGTTCGAATCGACTGTGAAATGCGGGGTGACCCAGTGGGAACTAGATTGTATGGTGTGTTTGATTGATAGCATATCAGCATAAATGTTTTTTTACACTTTTGTGAGGTGTGGTTCAAGACATTAGAGGTCATGCAAGATTGAGGTAGCTTTGGACGGTTTCATCTCCAGAAGTTGTCGTATAGTCATGTCTTATAAATTTTTCTCGCTCTTGTTATTTTTCGGGAGGTCGAAAGTGTAAAGAACAGAATTATTCAATCTCTGCGATTTTTTAGGGAATCTATTTTCGCAGTAGTTGCGTTGCGTCGAATTGTAGGTCGCCGGAAAGTGCGTTTTTTTCCGTTTTCACATCTGAACGTGCTTTTGTTATAAAGTTTGTGTATAGGAGCTGAAGTACTCGTTTCAAACCGCTGATCGTCTCTGCTTTGTGATGGAATTCGCAATTGGCGGCGATCTGTACTACCATCTGAACAGAGAAGTGCAAATCTCAAAGGAAGGCTTCTCGGAGCCTCGAGCTCGATTTTATGGAGCTGAGATTGTTCTGGCACTTGGCTACCTTCATGCCAACAACATCGTCTATCGTGATCTCAAGGTCTGCAAGTGTGCGAAAAACGCGCCGGATGAACTCAGAAAATACCGTCATAGCAAAAGTTTTTGAGATGTCTTCTGGCGTTTTCTTTGCACTTATTGTAGTGTTAGTCATTTTGTCACCTATAGTGATAGATTGTAGATAGTCGTGTAGGCGTGAAGGAGCTGTACCTATTACCACTCAGTAGCAGGCTAACCTTAAACGTCTTTCGCTTCCCTCTGCTTGATCTTTCGCATTTAAGATCAAAGTTGTGTGAATGAGATGCATTAGAACATGATCTGCGTACACCTCCGATATACTGCTATGCTGATCTTCATTGTCTTTTTGTATTGATGTTATCAATAATATCCCCTTCCTCGTGATGCGTGTAGATGAGGAATGGCTTTTTTAGCTCGAAAATCTGCTTCTCGACAAGGATGGTCATATAAAAATAGCTGATTTTGGTTTGTGTAAGGAGGAAATCAGCTTTGGTGACAAAACAAGCACATTCTGCGGGACTCCGGAATACTTAGCACCCGAGGTATTACCTTATACTTTTTAGAAAGAAATCTGCTTCGACTTCCATCACGATTTTTTTAATGTCTTTGCCAAAATTTATTCTGTTGTGTTATTTATTTCAAGGTGCTCGAAGACAATGATTATGGGCGCAGTGTAGATTGGTGGGGAGTTGGCGTCGTCATGTACGAAATGATGTGTGGTCGACTACCGTTCTACTCACGAGATCACCAAAAACTGTTCGAACTGATCATGGCTTCCGAACTACGTTTCCCAAGCAAGCTCAGTGCTGAAGCGAAACAGTTGCTTACCGGATTGCTTTTCAAGGATCCTACACAACGGTTAGCTTTTCTTTCTTTTACTCACGTTCATCCTATCTAGAAGCTGCTTACCGTTTTCTTTGAATCAAGAGTTATCGTAATGCACATCTTTCGCTGATCCATTTTTTTATTCACCACAAGTTTTCGAGGTTTCGGATATAGCTGGAATCTCTTGTAAAAACTTTTGAGATTCTGATCACGAATCAGTTTTTCCGCACACCGCCTTTTGCATATAGGGAAGGAGAATTCGGATCTGTTCAATAAGCTAACCGGAAAGCATAAGCTCACGGATCATATTGTTAGTTTGCACAGTAAGGCTTTCTAGCAGGGCTATGGATGTTTCTTTTATCATTTCTACCATAACCCTGAAAAGTCGTGCTGTGAACATTTTGTAACGAATACAAGAGTGATCTCCAAGACTCATTATATCTTCATCAAATTGATAATTACTCTAAGCACTCTGCAGTTCATATTAAGACTTTTTTCAAAAGTTGTGGACTTATGATACCTTGAATTTTACTATCATTTGGTTACAGTATCTGCACCCATTAATTCAAGTATTCTGGATCGTCCAATATCGCTTCATTGCACATCTTGCAGGTTGGGAGGTGGCCCTGATGATGCACTTGAAGTCTGTCAACAACCGTTTTTCAAACCGATTGACTGGGAGAAATTGTATAGAAAAGAGATTGAGCCTCCTTACAAACCATCCGTCCAAAGTGAAACCGACACAAGTTATTTTGATAAGGTAAGTATTAATTGTCTCAGTAAGTTCAGATGCCTTCCATTTGCATCTTTTCAGGAATTTACTTCTGCGCCAGTTCAACTCACGCCTCCTCCAGTACGATCTGGTCCTCTAGCCACCGTAGACGAATTGGACGAAATGCAATCAAATTTCACGCAATTCTCGTTCCACAATACTGTATGTGGCAACTATGTGGTCTGTGCAAATGATTTCACAACCGGTTTTTCAGAATTTATATTCTTTTCAGCTTGATAGCAGCTTGAGAGAAGCGAGCGAAATGATGGAGTGATCTACAGTACTTTCACGTGTTTGTGATATTCTATTCAAATGCACATGACAAAGTGCGCCTACGTCCAAGTACTAACGTACGTCGCTACAGTCAAGCCTTCCGCTATTCTGAAAAGGAAGGGACTCGTCTTTTAACATAAGCATTCCACTGAGAAATTTTATTCTTGAACTTCACAATTCATAGCGCAAAAATGTTTTGACATCTTAGTTGCTAATCTGGTGAAACTTACCGAATTTTTTTTTTTGCGACCGTTTGTTGAATTTTTTTCGAGCGCTTTTTATCTTTGTTATAATTGCTCACTCAAATTGTTTTCTGATTTTTTGATCAGATCTGTTTCAGAGAGAAAGCTTAATTTGATGCTTTTTGCTAATTTTTTTTGCAGTTTTCATCGTGAAGGAAGGGCTGAGAAAGCCTTATAGATTGTACACAGCGTAGAGTTTAGTTAGTGCAACCTTGAAGAGGTCTTTTTAACACTCTAAAATTTATTTAATTTTAGACGAGGATTTTGTATACACTAACACACTCATTTGATTGATTTTTGATTCATTTCCGTATTTTGTCTGGTGTATTTTGTAATTCCTGCGTCAGCTATAAAATCTGCTACCCCCAACAGATTTTATTTTCCTTATCGCAGTAGAAATGCCCAAATAGGAAAGAAGCATGGCTAGTAGTTTACGTAGCGAGACTTACTGTCAATTTCTAGCTCCGAGATGGCGAATCAATAAAACTCTTTTTTTCACTTACGGTAGACCATTAATTTCCGAAACTTCGTGTTCCTTTTCTTTCGAACTTGTGATCGATTCGACGTAGTATGTCTAGAACTTTTGGTTGTGCCCTATTCGTTACCATAAAATAATCGAGACATGCATGCTGATTCAGACGAATAATATTGTTTATTATGATGAAAAATGTTGGTGTCATTGTTGTCATTCATTTGCGCGAGAGCGGAGCGAACGACTGTTTTGTACTGGCTTTATTCCATAAACACCGTACTATGACTCTTTCAGTTTAAAATGGCATATGCGCCAATATGAAATACGAGCTCAAGCTCAGTTATTCGTATGAACAATGAAGTGCTGTGAAAACAAGACGTATATGGAAGAAAATCTGTGGTAGCTGCACTACTTGAATATACAATACATATAAATTACACTCAATACGCATGTGAAAACACTGGAATCACTCGAGCGAAGTGGTGATGAACTGAACTAGTACATGAAAAATGCTCGGCGAAGATACGGCAACAATTTGACTGAGAATAGAGTTCAAGAGACCGTTTCGGTAACAGTAGGAATTGGTTTGGAAAAAAGTAGCTATGTGCAATAGTTTGTAGCTGTTCAGTCTTATTCTCACTTTGTGAGCAATTTGTTCGCCCTTTTGTTTGCAGATTCCACACGAACTTCGTTCGATTGTGCCTGAAATGCTCATCATCAGTTGTATTGATGATTGACGGTAGTATCACAAGGGTCGCAACTATATCTAATTTTTTTCAGAAAGATCTCTGCGCCTTACTGTATGCCTACTGCAATCTCACAGGCCCCACTTCCAATGTGGCTACATGCTTTGTTGGAGGTCCTAAGCAAACCTACTTCCAATACGTTTATTAGCAAATTACAAGGTGGCCGAGTGCGGCTGTATACTGTAAACCGTTGCACCAATCACAGCGTGACCTTCAATTGCGCGCTGACCTATCACAATCATAGCGAAAGCGGCTACGGTAAGGCTATAACAGCAGTATAGCTACGAAATGACATTAGCCTATAAATCACATAAAAGAGAATGGTCTTTTTATTTTCTCTAAAACTCGGCATTCATTGGGATGGCCATGAGGTTTGAAAAAGGCTATTTTCAATATGGGGTGCTTCATCAACTTTCTCGAAGTTTAATGCTCAAAAAGACTATTTTACGGATTTTTTATGATGTGCCTTTCAAAGTTTACAAATTATGACACAATGCTCGAGAAAATTTTGAAAATTTTCATGACCCCAACCAGGTCTACTCACCTTATCGTGAATGCGATCAAGCTGTCTATTTTGATTCGAAACTTCTGTGCTCATATCAATAGCCATGTTTCGAAGGTTACCAACCATTGTTGATACCTGGATAAATATATTGTAAATTGAGAAAAGAAATTGTAATGGAAGAACAAGGATCAAACCTGTTGAATATTTTCATCCATTTCGTCTTCACGTGCATCATTTGTAATCCTGAAATTACCAGACTAATTTTGTGAACGAACAAGAGGCTGGGATGAGAAAAATCATATACCTGGTAACGTAGCCTCCTTGTGGTCCCATAGATGCATCACCAACAGTGATTCGTGGTTGGTCTGAGATCACACCACCATCGTCATCCTTCTTCCACGCTTTGGCGTATTCGGAATTCTTTTCAAAATCGTCAGCTCTAAAATAGGATAATATGCTTGAGTGAATCAACGAAATCCGTCTGTAGAACTCCTAAAAACCGGCTGCTATAAGCAACCTATAGGAATATTTTCTACAATTTAGCGGGACTAATTTTTTTGTACGGTCAAAATATTTCAATGTTTGTACCTACTTACAATGATATTTATCTTTCTAAACTTACTTGTTCCAAGGTAAGACACAAAGTCCGCAGCATTTTTCCATGCCTTTCAGGTGTTCCTCAGCTTCTTTCATGTCCGTATTAATCGTGTCCAAAGCTCCCTCACATCGTTCAAGTTGCTCTATAATGGTTTCATTGATAAATTGTAGGATGTTATCAAATTTATACATGTTTATAGATTATTGAAAGAGCTTCCGAGGTCTAGGAAGATGGGAAAACTAATTTGTGCCATTAATACTAACTATATTGCAAGTATTATATATTTTGACAAAGGGGTTCACAAATCGGATAAAATGAAGTTTATGGGTTTTTAGAATGTCCACATTCAAGTGGTCTCTCGTAACGAGAGCTGATCACAAGTGGGTTTGTAAAATTAGAGCGGAAGAGAGCCGGGAGATCTTTTCTAGTTTTCTTTTTCAGATAAAGAGAGCGAGCTAAATCTTGGATTTTGATTAACATAGCGATAAAGCTCGTTGAAATGTTATAATTATTATTACATTCTTTGGTTGTCTTGCGAAATGTAACTATGTTCACTCACCTCCTTGATCATCTAGCATGACCAACGTTTTGATACCAGCTTCTTTGCTCTGCAATGATAAATCATTAGATGTTAGGTGGTGATAATTTCTATCTTCCTTAGTTGACGATAGTGCTAATTAAGGAATTCCTCAAAAGAAGAACGTGGTAAAGGGATGTAAACTCACTTCTTCACATAATGCAAGCATTCGTCGTGTAGATTCGAGTGACTGAAAAGGCACAAATTAATGAAAACAAAAGAAAATTGTAGATACATTGCTTCTGCAGGCAAGCAACGACGGCTACTATTCTACAGTATTCTGCTGTACTCGAATTTCCATGTAACTCATTCCATCGTAGTTCAAAGTGTACTCTTATGCCATATTTTTAAACGTATTTATTCAAACTAAAATTTCCTCGGAAGGCTCATAAGACGAAAAGACGTTTATACCCTGTTTGGATAGACAACTCTTTGCAGCTGCAACATTTCTGTATAGTGTTCGTTTGATGTCATCGCTCAGTTTTTTTACTCTGAAGAGATTCGACTAAACTCTAGTTTATATGAGGCAAATCTAAACTCACGAGGTGTAAATCCTAGATAATCCAACCTCAAAAAATTGCAGTTACCGTAGTTTTAATTTAGCAAAACACTCTGAATATTCTTTCAGTCAGTTTGTAAGCACAACCATCAGTTTATTCTTACCGTAAACCTGCACCTACTATTAGCAGCAACGCTTACGTTGAATTTACGAAAAATTTCAGTTTAATCCCAAATACTACCATTATAATTATTCGAACTGCAGTTTTTATTCCTTCCTGCGTACCATTCGCTTATGGCAAACAACAATCACGTCTGCTTTGCTATTTTCGTACATGTTATTCGGATGTCATTCTCTAGCGAGATCCGCGGCCCATTATTTGTTTTCGGCCGTTCATCTAGGCTGATACCTCCTTGACTATGCATGACTGCATCGCGAATCGATGTGCTGTAGTGCTTGCGCAGCACAACTAGCCCCCAGCAATTCCCGAATGTTACCTGGTTGAATGCTTGAGTGGCCGAACAATGTTATGAATGCATTTTCAATTAAACATGAGAGCTTTTGGTCAATCCTGCAGGTTGAAAAGGCTCTGTTTTGTCGCGCAGATGCAAAGTTCGAGCAGATTTCATGTTTGGAATCAATTAGGGAGTGTCTCGAAAAAATTAGGGAGATCACTAATCTTTTGGACACGTGCGGTTCAAGAAAAACACTGAATGGAACTCATGCTCTGAAATTTTAGAGGGATTAAAATAAAGCATTCTACAACAGAAAACTTGCCATTAACTTATAGTATGCATATTTCATTCGGAGCAACAAGCCGACTTTTGAATTTTTTGTATGAATAAAATCAAAGTTATTTTTTTTAATCGGGCTATTTTTTGTTGTACTGCAACGGAAAATTAACAACTCGAATCTATCCTTTCAGCTTTCAAAAAGATCTTACGTCTTTGAAAACTGGAGATTGTGTGGCTCAATATGAAACAAGATCAGATATCTATCAATTCTTCAAGACGTTTAAATTATCAATGAGGTAGCTTATACGAGAAATTTCTGCTGCTCAGGGTTGTAATACCAAGTGAAACTTTTACGAAAGTTACTGAAAATAAAATTTCCTAGCGAAAAGCATTGTACTAATGCTCTTAGTCCCTACTACGAAGTAAACGGTTTAGAGGGCACGTGTCTGAAATTGAGGATAACGAAAGCAACTGTAGTCTTGCGATTTTGGAGTGAACGGTTGTGAGTTATCTTTCGGAGAACTTGCTGAGAAAGAAACCATTTGATGAGTTCTGGGGAAAGTTGTTTGAATAAAGACCATACCGCATGGAATAAGTTCATTACATCAACAAAGTTGTGTTTAGATCATTACAAAATTGCTAGTTTCGTTCTGTATAAGAGCGAAATTTTTGAGAACCCCGTTTTGTCCTTTCCCCTAGACGATTTTTTTGATTTTGGAGTGTAAAGTGCATTACAATTTGAAGTTAAGTGTATTCCATGTATCTTCAATAGAAGATAATTTCCAACTTCCCTTTGAATTTTCGATAATCAAAGTATATTTTCCAACCCTAATTTATCTGGTAGTGAACGTGAATCATCAATAATCGTAGTCAGCAAAACCTACTTCATAGGTTTTATCGTCGATGTTAACGTTCAACGACTTCAGCTCATCGGACATGTCCGCTGGCAAGATCAAGCCGTTTATCCGCACAGTACCGTCATCGGCGGGTGCGGCGCGCGCAGCGCGACCCGCCATTAGGGTCGGCTGTGGTGGGGACGAGTTTGTTGAAGTTCAGCAAAGACTTGCTTGAATTCGAGAATATTTGAGAAGTTTCGTGCGGATACACGGAATCAAACGATGTGACAGATTGTCACAGAAAGGGAATGACAGAAATGAAAGACAGCGAGATAGACAACGAAGGGTGAGAAATCAAAAGAGCATTCTACGCGAAGAGTAAAAGTTCCAAAACGACAAATCTCATGAAAATACGGTAACAAAGGGTGTGTGTCGTAATGCGTGAATTAAATATATTACTTTAAATTTTACAGTTAAATGGTTGAGTCGATAAACTGAGCAGTTGCAAAAGACAGTGAAATAAAAGTGACGCGTCTCAAGAGATACAAGGTAATATAATAGCCATTTACCAAAAATATGGCAATATGTAGGTGACGTGTAAAGGACTTGAAGGTTTCCATATGGAAAATGAAATGTGAGAAACCTTCTCAGACCAACGTGCCAAAATATCTCTCCAAGCATGGTTTATTTATGAGACTAATCAATTTGTGCTAATGATATGCGCCGTATAGATTCTATAATAAATCGTTTCTGATACCGCATAGCGGACTATGATTAGTTTTTAGGAAATATCAGGACTTAATTGACAACGCAAAAGCCTCTGAATGCTATCCAAACCCATCTTCAACAACATGTGGGAAGCTAAACTCTACATTATTGAAATCAATCGCTTCAATGACGAAATGATATGTAATGAAAATTGTAAAGCTTGCATTTTTACTCATAGATCCTACTAGGGGTCTCAGACTGGAATCACTATCGAAGCAAAAATGTTTTGCATATTTACACTCAAAGCGCATCGTCCATCCGATTCGCGACTTCATTGTTTCTGTCATTCCGAGGCCTCATCTCCCTTATTCCGAATATGAAGTCGAGAATCCTCAAAAATCCGACAATTACCGATCCGGAGAACTCGCAGGAATCGTCGGAGTGAACGGTGATTGTTGGGCAGGCATGCGTGGGCGGGCATTACTGGAGGAGGCGTTGCCGCCTAGGGGTGCCTATTCGTTAATCCGGAGAGATTTCGCTTCCAAAGGACATTTTGAGCCTCGACCTGGGCATTGGCTTGATAGGAGGCACTTGGTGTAATGTCATAAGCTCAAGACCCCTAGCCTAAGGTGGATAGTGCCTTTAAATCCCACTTTAAGTAGAATGTTTGACTATTTCAGGCTAAGGCAACTCAGAAGAAATCTAACGAAAGCCAAATAAAGCAAAAGTCCAAGAGCAGTGACATCATCTGTAATAACAGCAGCATTTTACGCTTGACTTCATCAAGTGTTTCGTGGCCTTGCATTCGGCTTTGGTGCCGCAGTCAGTTTGGATTTGAAGAGTTGGAAGCACTAACAGTAATTAAAAAACATTTTGATTCTGGTTGAACAATCTAGCAAGGAGCGTTTTCAGCGAAGTTACCAGGACCAAGAAGGTAAATGGTCCATAATCGGAGAGATAAATCTTTACAAGGTACGGAAATGTTCATGGACGCCATTGAGCATGTAATGGCCGAAAAGAAAAATATTCGATTCGCCACTCTAATAATGCAGGTGGACTAAAACTATGGGCAGCGCCACTTCTCGACAAAAAATCAAAAGAGCTCTAAAGAATTCAAAATTCCAAGCAAAGCCAACACATGGCAAGATAAAAAATCACAAGACACCATTACGCAACATAACGTTCTGCTTCACATTCCGAAAATGTCTCGCGATTTAAGAAAAAATAAATTGAATGAACTAATTACGCTTCGAAGTTGCTTTCATACGTTTTTCTGCAAGTTATTCAATTTTGGTGCAAAAGTGCAAAAGCATTCATATGCCTGTAAGACCATAACCAGCAGTGGAGTATATTTGACTAATTCAGCGCGAGAAAGAATAACATTAGCTCTCACTCACTTCTTGGCTCCGTTGAAAATACTGAGAGACTGACCATTGTTATCTATATATTTTTATATACGTATCACTCTCTTGGTGTGCCAAACAGAAAGAAAAAAGAACAAGTCAAAGAACAATATACCATTTTGAAAGAATGTAAAAAATTGACGATATGTTCCATGAGACGAGATGCAAACTGCCAATTTACGAAGCATGAAAAAAGTCACTATCCCGAGTAATTAGCTATAAAATTCTGCAGAAGGAAAAAAATCAACAGTCTTTGTTAGGCGCAGCTTGTAAGATATGCAAAGTGGCAAAAAATAATAAAACTGGCTTTGAGATATTTTTTTTATTTTTATTAGACTTCATAATTTCCTAGGAAGTCCAATCTGACTTAGTTTGCAGCTCTTGCTCTCATTAACGGTAAAAGGTAGAATTCATCATTTCAGTGGCATTAAGGATTATCACATTCTCAAAAAAGCCCAAGTCCCGACGGTGCTATCAGATAAGTGGTTTATGAGGTACAGGGTGTTTGCATGACGCAAGTATGAAGGATTTAGATAATGCAACTTATACTGTAACTGGTAAGCATTGAGCTGGATGGGTCAAGATACAGTTGTATTAGATTTAATTGGGCCAAAATTGCGGGTGCGGGACTTGCGGGATTTAGTCATGACTTCTTCCAAAACAACTTTATTTGGAACTTGCAAGAAGATTTGGCTTCAACTTGATGAGACGAATCTTTTAGTATACATTATACCCATAGTCCATGGTGATACTGTAGACATATGATACTACTTCGATATTATCAAAATTTTTTCATATAAGCAACAATACATGTTGACAATCTCATAACACATGCCCATACAGTACAAATGTACCCTGGAAAACGGGCATAAATGTATACTAAAAGAATCGTCTCATCAAGCTGAAGCCAAATATTCTTGCAGATCCCAAATAAAGTTGTTTTGAAAGAAGTTGCATCTAAATCCCGCAAGTCCCGCAAATCCCGCAGTTTGGCCGGATTCCACCGATACAACTGTACAATAGAGTTCTTTCTTTTGCAATCAGCTTGGATAGGAACACCCAGGAATAAAATTTCAGCTCCTTCAATATCACCTCCGATTTCAAGTAAAGTTGTACCGTAAAAGAGTTCCTACTGTAGACTTACGATAAAACATACATTTGATGAATTTAAACAACAATATCGTTTTTTTTTGTAGGAAATTTGGGTCAAGTTCTGTAATGAATTTTGACAAATCAAGCTTCAGAGGTATCACATTCATATCGTATTCCTATAGACAAACTGATGCACAGATGCAAACAAGAAATCTCTCTTTTCCTGAAGGTGATTCAAGCTTGTCCAAGTGGAAGAGCAAAAATTCCTAAGCAAAACGATAATCAATAAGTATGTTTCCGGTATGAGTAACATCTAAAAAATCAATCAGCAGATGAAGCATAGCCATCGAATAAAAAAGTCCAAAAAAGGAGGTTGGACAAAAACCAGCCCCATTTTGTGGGATTGCAAGCCTCACTAGCCAGGCGCATGTGTTATTATGCTGGGAGTGCACTTCATCTACGGCAACGAAGGCGGGGCGATGGTGTCCAACCGATATAGCGGACATGTGGTCGTGGTGGAAGTAGGATGAAGCATATGATTGGGGGAGAGGGGGGGGGGTGAGAAGGGGGTGAAAACATAGCCCTATTATCGCATATCAAGTCTTGAGAAGTGCACTTGAGTAAGTCAGATCCATGAGATACCCTTGACGTGATTCCTGGTTATCGCGCCGTTTGGCGAAAGCTTTCGAAAAGAGCGGGCAAAGTATGACAAATCATGTCATCCACATTTATTTCAAAAAAAAAATCTCTCAAAATGCTATGCCTCCGGCACATTGCCAAACCATTCAAATGAAAATTTACTTCGATATAATCATAGCAAATATTCACAAGATGTCATAATTTCATACAAAAAAAAATAAACTTCGAGTTTTGGTCAGTAAGTAAGTAAACAAGTCAATTTTTGCTGCGGCAGTGACAGGGCCTGGCACCAGCTGGCACGGGGCAAGCTGGATATCGTTTTTGGGGCAAAAAGCAAAGGGGGTTTCGTTTTTGTGGGCGAAGACATACGCAAAATTGGTGGCGACGACCTTTTTTTTTTTTTTTTTAGTCGACGTTTCGTTTTTTGGGGGATTTTGGGGATTTTTTTAGGATTTTAGAGGGGATATCGTTGAGGATCAAAGGGGACTTCGTAAAATTTCCCAAAAGTCAAGGGGGACTTCGTAAAAATTGGCAAATTTCAAAGGGGACTTCGTTTTCAAAATTCCCTGGTGCCAGCTCGTGCCGAGCCCTGGGCAGTGAATTCAAAATTTTAGTTAAAGCACATGCCCACCCATTGTGGCTGAAAACAGTCAGGATAGGAATAATAGCGCTGATGAAAAAATACAATAAATGACTTGAAAATTGCATAGCAACAATTTTCCAGAATTTCAATAAATTCTTGCCTGCTTAGGTCTTTCGGCTGTTACAGTGTATTGTGTCTTTACACATAGACTTTCTAATTTCTTTGCAAAATACATGGTGAGAGCATTAGACAAATCTTTTCAAAGCTTTCACATGATTCGATTTGGAGGCAGAAAAGCAGAAAGCTCTTTGATTTCGCAGTTGTAAGTGAGAGGAAGGGGTAACTTAGGTTCCTAAGTTAAGTCCTAAGCATTACATTTGAGAAAGTATGCATTATGAGTAGAGTCCAACAGAATATCATTTTTAAAGCTGTGTAGGCGTGCTTAATCTATGCCTGTCATATTCTAGTCAATACTACAATTTGTTCCTCAGTTCTTGATAAAAACGGACTGAGTTACTGCAAGTTTTTGAGTTTTGATAATATCATGCCGTAAAGGAAAGGCAAGAACGATCATTCTGGAATATTCATAGATTTCAAAATAAACGAACAAGGTAAAAGAAAATATTTTTTTTGAAGTCATGAAATGGAATCCTAAATACGAATCAGTACTAGCGGCTTTGAACCTGAGGCGTGCTCCTTGTCCTTGGCCCAGTCTTTCTGACTTCAAATCAACAATGCTTTATTGAATTTCCAAATCATCTGCTGAAAGTGTACGGTCAAAAATGTTCGTCTCGGCACCAGCTGGCA